TAGTATGTATATTGTAATGTAAACTATGCCATGCGAACGTTCATATTGGCATGAGAGACTAGTAACAAGTTTCTGATTCTACAATACTGATGTGTCACTCTGTATTTGAAATTTTTTAGGTTTTAAGGTGGTCGTTGATTTAAATTGAACACAATCTCGGTCCCTAGTATTAGGATTCAAAGTCAGTGTTCTCTTGTTTAAGAATAATTAATCTTTAATTTTTTGTTTAAATAATCGCCGTGTTATTTTGATTTGTAATTGTAAAGTTGAATTATGTTTGAGAAAGATTAGGGACATCTGGAAGTAATTGCGTTGTGTTATTTTAAAACTTTATTTTCGGTCTTGCGATAAGGACTACGTTAGCGCCGCGTAAAATCCAGTTAAGTTGAAGATAAGAAGGTGTCTTGTTCGCCCTAAGTAAACACAGGTGAGAGTTGATCGATAAAGGAGGAGCGGAAGGGATACAAGGAAGCTGAAGCGGCCGTTAAACAGGGCTTTTTTTGGTGGATAATCCATCACCATTTGAAATTGCATCAAATCATCAAGAATCAAGTGAAAGTAAAAAAGTTTCACTTGGTTTCTGTGTTAGTGCGTCTGTTTAAAGAAAATTGAAGCTATGACCGGATTATTAACTTTAAGGTAATTAAAACTTTACTTAACTAACTTGTAGCAATCGATCGCATGTGCGTGGTAGATTGTTTGCAGGCCCAGAGTGCCTTTCTTTCTTACAGCATTATTGATCGATTCATGTCGAATAAATTTGCTTCAACTGTAAATGATCGGCTTTCTGTTTAATCGAGCTTGCTTCGTTTTTCTGTACTGCTTAATAATTCGATTTGCCTTATCCCTAAGACCCTAAATAGACACTCTTTTGTATTAAAAAACAGTGACCGTATGCCTCCATAATAAAAGTTTGTGTAGAAAATATAGTGCTTCTTAAACTTTCTTTTGGGCCCAACTAACTATTCATCCATAAGATCCACCTGGATACATCCTGAATACTATTCTCTAAAGCGGTTCACAGTGATTCACTATGGAGATGGAATTATATACCTCTCTAGAATTTCTTTATTTTTTCAAAAACTTAAGCCTGGAAAGGATTTTAAACAAATTTAGGGAACTTTAAGGTATTAGCGACGAACCACAGAGTGCTCTGCTAAGAAACTATGAACCATATTTGAAGAACTATGTGTAATTTTGAATCGGTATTGTGAAAATTTAAAAAGCATTAGAAGATTCCTTGTGAGACTTTAATATGGATACCCAAAACAGGTACAAATTATCAGTCTTTAAAATATACTTGATAAATATTCAAAAGAACCATGAATGAGCTATGAAAATTCTCTAAATGTTTCTGAAGAGAACCTTTGAAAAGTCCTAGAGGAATCGGTAAAATTTCTAAAGATTTTCTAAAAGATTACTTACAATAGATTATTGAATGCATATAGTCAATCGAATTTTTAATGTAATACTTTTGTTCCCTTTGCAGTTTTTTTAAAATACAATTAAGTTACTGGAGGACTCTGTGCATATGGCTTTTCAGGCCACGTATGATTTATTTGCTAACTATTTGACTCGAAGTCCTATACGTATTTTTACTCCGCCACCCGTACGGATAGGTTCCGCAAACACTTCCTGATTAATTTATTATTCTCCTGTTTTTAATAACTACCCCTCCACGAATTGAGAACACCTGCAAAAATGACCTAAACTAAACCATAACAAAAAAAAACCAAGCAAGAGGCAAGGAAAAATTTCTCAGAAGATTTCACATTTCTGCCAAAGTACAGTGTTGTTTAGTCGCCTCTTACGACACGCAGTGCCTTCTGCGGCAGAGTTATTCTTACCCAGCTCTGCACGGGGTTTTGTAATTTTATACGAAGGATTATAATTCAGGTGTCGGCAACCTTTTAGGGTAGAGTTAATTATTAAAAGTTTCGGAAGACAGACTCTTAATCCGGCTCATATTCAATACCACTGATCCTTGAACACCTAGAAATTGATTGGCGAAAATTTGACATCGCAGTAAGACGAGGAACAGACGGACAGACTGACTAAATCATCACATAAGCAAAAGCAAATACATTTTTGGCTCTGAGGTGACGCGACGCTTCGATGTTTCTGGTAACGGGGTTACCCCAAGTTGCGCCGTTCATTCTTTTTGGAGTAACGGATGAGAGGAGACATGAAGGTTCGTGTGAGAGACTTTTATTGGCAAAACTGTCACGCCATTTAAACAGTGACAGCGCCAGATATCAAATGCAACGGTAACAGGGATGGTGGTAATCCTACGCGATAGGTGAACAAATGGACCGGGAGGCATCTACACTATGGGCCAAAAGGAGGTGTTGGAGTCCTACGGTATGGGCGAACAATATGACCAGAGAGTGTCTATATATACAGAGTCTACATATATTTTAAAGAACGACCAGAGAGAGAGTCTTCTTCTCTATGAGGAACAGAAGTCGCCTAAATGTTATGGTTATATCGTGTTTCATTCCTCCGACATCTCTGACTACATAGATACAGAGACGTTGGAGGCGACTAAGGGTGATCATCGAGTGATTCACACGGGACGCATTGAAGGTAGACCAAGGACAGGTGGTGTAGGAGTTGTGGTTAGTAAAAATATGGGACAAAGAGTTACGGATTATGTGCAATGGAGTGGTTGGGTTATACTAGCCAGTATACATACTAAACCAAGCAGGACGGTTGTATCGAGTCATGGCGATGTTCTTAATGTTAAGGGAGAAGAAAATTTACTTATAATGGGAGACTGGAATGGGGTAGTGGAAGAAGGGACAGATGGCATTTCACTAGGCCCTTTTGGTTTGGAGAAAGGAATGAAAGTGGAGATCAACTGGTGGAATTTTGCACGCAGCACCAATTAGGGTATACAACACCTCCTCGGAGGCAGTACACCTGGTACTTCCAGGCGATAAATAAGTTACCAGATCAGCATGTACAGTGTATACAACAGGTACAGCGCTTTTACAGGGCCAGATCGCGCTAGTGGCCGTAATGTAGTGCCTCAAATTCAAAAGACGGAAAAAGAAATGTAGTGATAATTTAGAGATGTTAAAATCGGAGGAGGTAAGAGTGTCCTATAGCGAAAGGTCAAACAGATCTGTGATCACAGGAATAGAGGATACAGAGGAAAGATGGGCGAACTTGAAAGCTAGTATGATAAACAGCGCAGAAACGAGAAATAGAGGTGGACAGAAACCACATATTAGAATAGAGTTCGAATGAACGAGTGCTAGAAAGGCCTTCTGCAACATATGCTTTATATTTATACTATTTTCTCTGTTGAGCATTTTAATTGTATTAAAAAAATTAACAATTCTGACATTTTCTGTAATAAATATTTCAATAAAGAAATTAAGTTGGCTACGCTACATTTTGAAAAAATTCAATTTAACAAGCGCGTCAAATACGAATTTGTGCAGTATATTTTAGTTTTTTCAATAAAAAGTGAATAATGTGCGAAGAAATTCTTCCTTCCACTCCTCCAGAGCTTCGACAGTTAGCAGAAGAGACTGTTCGTAATTTGCTACCAGGCAATAATTCCACAATCATTCTAAAAGTTTATAATAATTGTACATTTAGTGACAAAGATTAGTTTTGTAATTTTGTTAGGTTATAAAACCTCTTTTGTATTAAATGTGGATTTCTCTAAGTACCTACACTGAATTTTCAATACCTAATGATTTCAATTACCCGTATCGTTAATAACTGTAACATAATGTTATAACAATAAGTGAAATTAGTCCACATTTTACTAAACCGTTGAGATAAGTATTAACGTCTAAATCATCCAGGCAGAACTTTGAATTGAACATTCGCGTATACAGGGTTACCCGACATTCGCCGCAGCATACGAAAACGCCGTTAGCTGCGTGCAAATATGAATTACAATACGGCGTACACCTATATAGTAATGCAGGTTTCGACGCAGCATTGGTCAACGAGTTAGCGATGGTACTAGGATTCGTCACTGCTTGTCATTACTCATCGGATAATTCCTGTCACAATTTTGACGCTCAACATGCATGAACCCTCTCGATTTCTTCTACTGGGGTCACCTGGATTCCATTTATGCACGTGGACCGTTTCCGAACACTGCTGCTTTGGAAGATGCCATCCGTGAATGTTCTGCGGGTATCACTCATACCCAACTCATGTCTGTGACTGCAGAATTTGAAAACCGATTGCATTACACGATTCCTACTGGCGGGGACTTATTTGAACACTTAGATACTATAACGGCAGATGCGACGCAATTTCTTTTCTTAGACTGCTCTGTTCTTTTTTTTGTGTTACCGAAGGCTGTTTCTTCTTTAATGTAACCGAAGGATGTATTTTTTTCTTTCGTTATGTTTCCTTGTGCTCATCCTGCATGATCACTTCCCTTTTCCATGGAATTTCTAACGTGTCGGCCGATGCTGCGTCGAAACCTGCATTACTATATAAGTGTACGCCGTATTGTAATTCATATTTGCACGCAGCTAACGGCATTTTCGTATGCTGCGACGAATGTCGGGTAACCCTGTATGTATTTATTTGACTTTTACTTAATCCAGGATAAAAGACATAAAACCTGGAATCAAAATTTAAGTAATAATTTTGACAATATACTGACGCTTGCAAATGCCCAATTTTTCTTAAAAATCGAATTTTCTTTAAAACTACTAGCTTTTCGGATATTAACCATATAATAAAAAAGACGAACAATTACACGTAGAATTCAAAAATGCATTCAAATACAGGAGGTTCTATTTAAAAAAAATGTACCATTTTGGCGCCCTACTTTGTGGGCGCATCCTGTATAATTCCAATTATTTTCAAAATGTGGAGAATATTCAACCACATCATAATACAAAAGCACTCTATCGAAAAATCTTATCTTCAAGGCATTAAGTTATTCCGTGCAATCGTTGACTCACCCTGTACAGCACCAATACATTCCAAAAGGGAGACAAAACGGTCGAGTAACAATAATGGCGTATACGTTCGTTCTTACAAGTAATCGTTGAATATCGTTTTGTACAGTACCGGCTTCCAAAGAAATTAAAGAAAACTCTGCACGACCTCGGATGGCAAATCAAAGAACTATTATAATAAGAGATCTAGAACACTTGGAACAAATTTACCACAGGAACAACTTAGATCTAAAACTAGTGGATTACAAAGAAAATACCTAGATGACGTAAGAATTTAAATCATGAATATCAATCGTTAAAAAAAACAACATTACAGTGTGATAAAGAACGGATTAATTAACGGATACGACCATCAACGTGCATCTACCTATGCCGTTTTTAAATGAGGAAAAACCTCTATCGAGCCCAATGGAATTTATATGGAAATGCGGCAGATAAACTGGAGCGGGATAGTTCAACACAATTACCGAATCGCTTTACCCCGTATCGATCATCGCTTCTAAGTTAACTACATTTCACTTACCCATTTCGTAAACCATGCGCGCATGAAGGCACTTTGCGCTATTTTTAGCGAAAAGATTAGGTATACTAAGTGGATCTTTTTAGAAAGCGGTCGTAGGTATCTGTCATCTTTATTTGAATTACAATTATAAGAAATTACCTCATGGCTGCGGAAGATCAAAAGCTAATTGAAATGGAAAACTATACCTATTGTAACGTAGAAGTAAGTTTTGCTGTAGTAGCGATCGTTTCCAGAATTTCACAGAATTGACAATTGTTCTGACCGTCATTTTATATCGCGCATTTGAAGTAAGAATGACAGATGTCATTAGAGTGCACGATCATTTGTTTCACTCTGACTACCCTTACGTTTAAAGTGATCCCTTTATCTATTCCTCACGGTTAAAGAACGGCTTAGCCTACTCATTCAAACCTATTGAAGTGTCAATTTAACATATCCTATAAAAAAAATAATATAATGTAGATAATTAGTTTATACTGCTAATTACAAGCATAATATTTGTTACAGTACCACCACAGAAGCCTACCATAATAGACGAAAAAGGCAAAGAAATATTATCCGTTGCTGGTCCATACGATGAAGGTGGCGACATAAAACTTACCTGTATAGTGAGTGGAGGTAAGTTGCTTTAAAAGATACATTCTCTTTAAACTCTCTACGTCTCAATTTTACTATCCTGCCTGTTTATTCCACAAAAACCCCAATATACCGAAGTTGTGTAAGTCCAGACAACTATTGAATACTAAGTAAACTTTATCAAGACAGAATGACGTGGCAATTATTGATAAAGTTCGCCTTTATGAAGCTTATAGAGCAATTCATAACACTGAATTCTCGCTCACAATTACACGCAAAAGTAATTAAATTCACGTCTTTGGCATTCAATATTAGTATGTGTTATAATAAATCTCCAATAGAAAATGTCAGTCAAATTCTCTCTCAGTATTTCAAACGAACATATTCTTAAAAAGGAAGCGATTAAGATTTACCGTTTATTCGCGAATTCGAGTTAATGCGATTCACTAAAATACGAAAAAAAAAGGAAATTACTAATAAATCCTTAATATTAAAGGTCGAATCAATACTATTTGCCTTGGGGAATACCGTACCCCTAATCAATACCGATGTATTTTAAAAATTCGTAAATGCTACAAATACTTCAATTTCTTCATGCGATGTTCATTTATTTCGGGGCCGTAAAAAATTTTCGTACATCATATTGATTTATTTTACGCCAAGTTTTGAAGCGTAAACAATTTTGTTATACGAAAATAAAAAAAAGAATAAACATATGAGACGGACATTCTCTTTTATGACTCTATAAAGTTTTTATTGCACTTACGCGTTTATTACGTATCATCGCTTTTGTCGCAGATTCTATTTATACATACATAAAAAAGGTCGAAATAGTGTTCTTATTTAAATTTTATTTGTTCTATTGTGATGGTAATGAGAGCTTTGATCGTCTACAATAGGTAATGTCCATTCGCAAAACTTCCTGGTTAATGATATACGTACCAAGGCAACGGGATACGTATCTAAGTGAGTGGTGTGGACATTATTATTGCTTTTATTTAATTTGATATGACATTAAAGTTGATAAAATTTACAGGTGTTTTTTTGTATAAAATTTCTTTTATCACTAGAAATTATTTGTTAGGCATTATTTTGTATAAAATCGACCCGTGTGTTAGTTACTGGACTTTGAAAAGACAATAATTGATATTTTGTTTACGTTGGTAAGTATTTAACTGCGAAAAAGCGGGTTCCTACGAAAATATAACGATGTTAACGATAACGCATTGATTATAAAAAGAGGTGTTACAAAAAGAGAAAAATCCTCGGACACTCAGATTTGATCGTATAGGGGTTTTGCTGATCTTTTTACAGCATTATAGTGATTGAGTCACTTTATTCGCGAATACAAGTATACTGAAAATTCTTATCGTAAAGTTAAAGATTTTTTTTGTCTATTTTGATCTGTGGCGTTTGATGAATATTAAATTGATTTTATGTAAATTTAAGTTAGGTGTTGGAGAACGTTAGAGTTTAATTTTAGATTGAAGGTGTTTGTAATTGGTTTTAAAAAGTTTGTCCAAGTGTGTTTATGAACCCAGTTAATTTTTAATCGTTTATTAATTTGGCCAATCCGAGTGGTTCTTTGTAACATAAAAATAAAGCCATTACATTTTGTTCTAAAATCTAGTTATTGTCGCCGTTTGAAGTTATTTTCAGTGACCAATAGTGGGGTGATGTTTATTTAGTTAGCCTGAAATTCTGCGTGACATTCCAACATTTTGTAATTTTGTGTAGATCATACTGGGTAACCAAGCGAGTTACACGTTTATGGTGACTCCCGAACCATTCAATCGGCAATATAATCTGTAGAACTAAAGGCCAACGGCGTTCAGGTGGAGGAAAGGCCTTCGGAAAATTTTTAGACATTATAGATTTCTTAGAGTCTCCAGAATAAAAATAAAAATATTTTTTGGAGGTGGTATCAGACTTTACTATAGACCACTTGTTTGCGGACCACGTGTGGTTCGCCCACCACCTGTTGGAGACCACTATATTACCTACCTGATTTGTTTTAATTCCAGACTTGGCATAGATACTATCGTCCGGTCAAGTTAGCCCGAAAAATAGGGGTACGCTTGCATAAATTCCCAAGAAACTGAAAACTTACATGAACATTAGGGATACCATTATAATGAAATTATGAAAAGTCCCCATCGATCCCGTGTGTGCGAAATGGTTAGTTTTATGATAAAAACAGCTCAGAGAAAAATTGTAGATCATGCAATTATCTACAAAAATTGTTCTTACACTTTTTCGCATAAGATTCAGTACTACTAAGAAAAACATTTTTAAACTTGTAGGTATTCCCTATACTAAGCACATGCACACGTTTCCACGCCACCGGTGAGGTAGTGTACTTGACGAGTTTTAACGTGGTTTCCCCAGTAGGCCTACATTTTCCTAGCTGGCGGCTGAATTACCTTTAGCTTCTATCTTTATCAACAAAGTGATTTCTAAAACTGGTAATTTCCAGGCGAAGAACGGGTGCTTCGTTACACAGTTTCAGTAAGCTAGTAGCTAAAAATATATAATTCGAAAAGTTGTGCCTTTTGTACTTTGTTTTTCCGATGAAGCCCCGAATTTAACATTTAATCTGATAATAATTATCTAACGAATTATTTAACGAAAAGTTACTTTATTATTTTTCAAAAGTTTAAATTTAAGATATTCACTCAAGTAACCTTTGTATATATTAACATATTTTGAAATAAAATTCAAAATACAAATTTTTTAACGCATAACTGCTCTCGATTAATTAATAAAAAGGAGCTACACTCAGTGTTTGCCTGGTTCACTGAAATTTAAAAGTCATTAAATAACAGAATAAAATATTCCCTTACAAAATATTTTTATATTTTATTTAATGGTCTGAATTTTAGTTTATTTGTTATTAGTGGCACATGCCGAAACATTAGATAACAAGAAACAAACATGAAAGCGCGACGTTATTATGCCAGAAGGACGAATTTGTACGCATACTAAATTGATTGATTGATTATTAAAGTACACTTTATCGAAATGATCGTTTTCACTTTTATTTTAAGTGTACGCAAAACATTAAAATAATGAGAAGTAATTTACAGGTCCTGCGGTTTTTACCCCCATTGATTCGTCAGTACATATTTACTTTGTATGTTAGATTTGTGTAAATAATACGTTTTGACAAAATGGAGATACTGAAAAACTATTTACATATGAATGTGGAAAAGGTTATTGTGTACGTAAGCACCTAATAATAATATGCTTCACGTGTATTCATGTAAAACCAAATCACAGTTCAGCGGTAGAATTAAGGTAGGCGTTTGTAAACTCCGGTTATTGTACGAGCTTGTTCTCTCGTATATTGGCAAATATTCGGAAAGGTCTATTGGGCTTTACAAAGTTAATATAATTGAGCTCGATGGAGTAAACGACGGAACAAAGCGTCTAGATTTTCATAAATTCTAAGGCGTTCTATTATGTTTACAATTTATTGTAATTTATTAATTTAATTAAGTCTCTAGTTAAATTATTAACTAAAACTCGAGTGAATTGCTATATGTAATAGTAAATTAAATTTCGTGTGTGTGCAGGTAATTAGGTCACTGTGTGTTATTCGCCGTTTAATTTGTATGGAAACAAGAAACTAGAGCGTTACATCGTTACACGTGTTTCGGTCCATTACAATATAAGGTAATCTGTTACATTCCTTCTATATTTTATTGAAAGGCAGGGCATTTCGGGAATGTTAATTTCTCGTTGATGACGATAAAATTGAATGCCTTTGCGATGACTACGTGCATTTTGATCGATGAGATCTCACAATATAAGTGCAATTGAAAAATATCGAAAAATATTAGCTCGGTCTTCAAGAAGTAAAAATGATGAATTTCTATGTGTAGTTCGCTTTTCAAAATTTCAACCCTATAAAAGAAAGACGGGAGGGGACTGAAATATTGGGGTGGGAGTTATTTTCGTTGCTAATTTCATCATGTAAATGGCACTGTGGCCTCCTAATCCAGTCCAAATACTTCCAACATTGTATTGAACATTAGAAATGTATATGTGGGGATAAGCTGCTAGTTTTGATTCATAAAAAGACAAAGGTTTTGTGGGATCGTATAAATTTGGATATTTGCAGTTGAGCAATGAAACTGTACAACTGTACAGCCTGTAGTAACCAAAACTGTAACGTTATATCACAGTACGTTTATTCACTATTAAAGTACAAATAAAAATCAAAACCCACTCGTGGATGTTGCCGTGTAACACATTTGTAAATGATGATGGGCAAATATAGACCATAGCAGCTATCAATTAACGAAAATTCGAAGTCTCCAGGTGGCCCAGGGGCCGAGATCTCGATGGAACAGACAGATAGACGACGGAAAATCGAGCACATGAGCGTTACTCAACTTAGAGATCCAAAAGAATGTACGAACGTAGACCCGAAAGATATGGAAAAGGTTACACTTGCAGAAATACTCCGAAAATCTGAAATGTGTTTCATGAAACCAATAGTCCGGGCGAGAATTTTGAGATCATAACTTCTAACGGCAAATCTTGAGACATTTTGGTGACAAGTGTTTTTAGGGTAATTGGACCCTGCTGAATCCGATTTTGCCTGTCACCACCTCGAATTTTGGCTGCTAAGGCCTCAAATCAAAATGGCGACTAAAACTCACTTTAAAATTTGTTGTTGTAGTAACCAAAGATATTATCATGATTTTTATCTAGTACATACGTTTCATTATTTATTACTATCGTATAAAAAAGTATGTAGCCAAAAACAAATTATGATGTTGGGCAAAATGACGGTAGAAACTTGTGTTAACTAATTTCTTTAGTTGCAAAGAAAAAATTTGCATTTTTTACATGGGGTTGATACAAATAGGTTAAAACGAGTGTTAATAATAACAATTTGCGAAAAAAATAAAACAAAATGATTCCCAAAATGCGGAAATTTTTATGACCTTTGATGATATTTTAAAAGCAATTATCGAAATCTTTTTGAGTGCGTTAGGGAGGTATTAATAATTATATTATAAGATCCTTTTTTT